TCGGCAATCTCTTAGTTTACGAACGAGACTCTCAGCCTTCCGGGTCCATTCGCCCGAAGCCTCCTCATTCACTCCTATTCCCAAGCCAGCTTTTACACTCAAGGATAATAAGTCCAGGGAATACGCCACAATAAGCCTAATCAGGATAATTTCCTTCAACAAGTACGTGAGTTATGGAAAGCTTTCGGAAATGTGTTTTTTTTTTTTTTTTTTTTTTTTTCTTGTTTTGTGAACTGACTTTGTGCATTTGCAAAATAGATTCTTGTGTATGGGGAAGGGGAAGTGGGAGTAAGGGAGGGAGGGAGAGGAGAGGGAGAGGAGAGGAGAGAAGGGGGAGGAGACAGAGAGGGAGGAGGAAGAAGAGGAAAGGAGAGGAAGAGAGGGGAGAAGAAAGAGGGAGAGAGAGGAGAGAGGGAGGAGGAAGATAGGTAAAAAGAGGGAAAAGCAGAGGAAGAGGAGGAGGAGAGAAAAGGGAAAAGAGGAGGGAGTGGAAGAGATGGAAATGTGGAGGGAGAGAAAGCGGGGGGGGAGAGAAGATGGAGTAAGAGTCATGCGGTTTCGCCATGAGGATGAGGGTAAGAGGACCGGAGGGAGTTGGAATCTAGACTTTTTCAGGTGTGTGTGTGCATGTGTGTGTGTGTGCGTGTGTGCGTGTCGTGTGTGCGTGTGTGTGTGTGTGTGTGTGCTGTGGTGTGCTGTGGTGTGTGTGTTGTGTGTGTACGTTTACTAACGTACCCTCCGTTTATGCCTATACGCACACATACACGTACCAATACCCGTGTCCTTGCACTTAATACATGTGCGTGTCTTTCTATATCAGTCTCCCATTTCCTTCCAAAAGGAGAAGGTATCATTTAATATCATTCCGCCACAAGAAGAAATGGAGGAAAACGAACACAGCGGTTACACTATTCACGCAATACCAAATACACGGAGTCCATGTATGCTGCCAGAATTGTTCGCATGCGTGGGTGAAATGAAAGGCTGCGGTAATGACTTCGAATCATGAAATGCGGTTCGGATGCACACTTCTTTCTTCTCTCTCTCTTGCTCTGGTCTTTTGTCTTTGATTTCTCTCTTCTTTCGTGTCCTTGGGTTTCTCTGTTTTATTTTTCTTTCTTCTTTTTTCGAGTTTATTTTCTTTTTGCCGTCATTTATCTCTTTCTTTCTGTCTCTCTGTTTTCTTTATGTTTCATTCCCTCGTTATTTCTTTCTATTTATGAATTCGTTTCTTTCTCTTTTCTCTCTTACTCGCAATCTTTCATTTTCTGTTTCTCTTTTGTCTTTCTGTTTTGTTTCCTCTGCTTTTCGATTTTCTTTAATTCTTTATTTGTTTCTTTGTTGCTTTCTAGGTTTTTCTTTTTGTTTCAGTTTTTTCTCGTCTTTGTTTTCTTTTTATGAAACTGCTTCTATTACGAGCTGAATATTATGTATTATTATTCATTATTGCTATTGATATTAATTTACTATTGTCATTTTCATCATTCGTTTCCTACTATCGGTTATTATCATTTATTACAAATTTGATAGTGTGCATTTATGATTCAGGATATGAATTATGTACACACACACACACACACACACACACACACACACACACACACACACACACACACACACACACACACACACACACACACACACACAACACCACACCACACACACACACACACACACACACACACACACCACACACACACACGTATGTATGTATATGTATATAAATATATACATACATATATATATATACATATACATATATATACATATATATACATATATATACATATATATACATAGACACACACACACACACACACACACACACACACAACACACACACACACACACACACACACACACACACACACACACACACATATATATACATATACATACATATACATATACAACAACATATACATATATATATTTACATAGATAGAAAGATAGACAGAGAGATACCCAGACAAAGCAATTTAAAACATGCAGCAATCATCAATCAAGTCATTAGGATCTCGTTACCCCTTCTGTCCATATCGCGGCCGCTTCTTATCATACACGGAAATTGTCGGGGTGTGTCCAGCCGCCTGCTAAACCGTATGATAAAACGGCGATTATCCTCAGGTGTTAGAATTATATTTCTCTCTGCTTGATCCGATCTCTTGCTTTCGTGTTTTTTTTTTTTTTTTTTTTTTTTTGGGGGGGGGGGGTCGGGGCTGTCTGATTTTATCTTTCTTTCTTTTTCTCCTTTTCTTTCTTTTTCTCTCTCGATATCTCTTTCTTTTTTCTCTTTCTCTTAATTTCTCTTTCTCTTTCTCTCTCTCTCTCTCTCTCTCTCTCTCTCTCTCTCTCTCTCTCTCTCTCTCTCTCTCTCTCTCTCTCTCTCTCTCTCTCTCTCTCTCTCTCTCTCTCTCTCTCTCTCCTCTCTCCTCCCTCCCTCTCTCCCTCCCTCCCTCCCTCCCTCTCTCTCTCTCTCTCTCTCTATATATATATATATATATATATATATATATATATATATAAATATATATATATATATATATATATATATATATATATCAGTAAGTGCAGAGACACATACGGGCGTTTGTGTATTCGCCCTGCTTCCATATAAGCGCATGCACCATATATAAGGCCCAAGGAAACCCACCGCCGGGAAGGGGGGAGGGGGAGGGGGGCGCCGACAGAAATCCCCCCACGCGTCCTATATTTCAGCCGAAGCAACGCCGGCGAAATATTAATCCGGACAAGGCGAGGGGATTACAGATAATGGCGGCCGCGAAGGTTTAACTGAGATTAATTAGAGATAATTAGAGGTGGCAGGCATTACTGTTGCCCTGCCCCGGGTGCTCCGTTTCCCCGCCGCCATGCACTCTGCGTTCCCGTCATGCAAGGAGTTTTGTGGAGTTTGTGCATGAATTCGTGAAATGGCCGGGGGCTAAAAGAACGTCTTTAACTAAAAAAAAAAAGGAATGGAGGGTATTTTGCAATGATTTTTTATTGCTGGAGATTATGTTGAAGGGACTGTATGCTCTGGATTAGTATTTTTTTCTGTACTCTTCTTAATCTTTGTAGTAAGTTAGATCATTCTGTTATTCACGAAACTTATCGTAACCTAAGCTAGCTTAACTTTCCCCAACTTGGTCCTACTTATCGAACCCAGTCTAATAGAACATAATCTGCCTTAACAAAACCAAGCCATTCCAGACCTAAATCTTGTCCTAACTAAACCAAACCTAACTAAGCTATGGCAATAATTATAGTCTAGATCCTATGATAATTAGCCTCCCCCAAGGACACGACATACCACAGTCCACCAGCCTAACTACAAACAGTAAAAAGACGCTTTTTGGCGAAAAAATGCAAAAAACGAAATAGCAAACAGGCGAGGGGGAAAGTAGCCACAGTTCCCATCATCAAATCACGGAGCGCTCCCTCAAAATAACCACGGACGTCCATAAATAACCGTTTTCTGCTAGTTTTCTACCAACCACAGCCCAACTCGTGCCAACATCTGGCACCACAAATCACAGGCAGTGCCATCGTGGTCCTGCGCTCCCTTCAAACCATTTCAGGTTATGTTCCTGCTGTGCCCGGGTCGCTTTCGGGAAAAAAAGCCAATTTAAACTTTTGGGGGGACTACATATTTTGAGTCGATGTTTATTTAATGGTACATATTTTGACTTCCAGAAATTCACTGGGCATCGACGTGACGTCATAGATTTCGCTTTGGGGGCAAAACTAAAAAGGCTTTTCGATCTGCAGTTCGACTTGCTTGATGAATTTGACAGAAATGTTATTATTATCGTTTATGAGAATGCAAAGTGTTGTACTTGTTTTTTTTTTTCCTTCTTGTAGAATTCCATTTGATTGAAACTTTTATGTTATATTTTGTATTCTTGTTAGAATTACGACTAGATAAAACATATGATCTTGTATGTAATATAACGAATGTCCGAATCCACGTGCTCGACATGCTTATTTTTACTTTTCATTGATCTGCTTATTCCACTCCCCCTGCCTCTATTTTTATTGTCAAAACAGTTCTCAATTTCTAGGGGAAATGATTTCACCATAAGTCTACGGTATCATATAATTTCACAACATTTCAGCGCACAAAAATATATTTATTGTTGTAAAATGTATAATTTATCGTTACTCGTACCGTATCGCACGACAAAGCTTCTAAAGTCTGCCCTTTAACTACCCCGTTTTCTCTAATAACTCAAGCGATGGAATGCGCGATATTTGTACTGGGAATTATACCGTGCTTTACTCTATAACCGAATATTTATCGACAGTAATTTAGAAGTAAAGAAAGCTGATCCCGTGTCATATATTGGAGTTAAGCTGCATCACATTTTTTCTTCATTTTTCCAACTTTTTTTTATTTCGTCTAGAATTTCGCTCGTATACATTTCGTCCAAACCACAAAGAGTCATGTATGTTATCAACTGGTGACAAATTGCAATAAAATGGAAGCATTTCATGTTTTCAAGGAAGAATGTATTGTGTTCTGCTTGATACGACGTTTCACATAAATTGCTATAATTCATGTCACAAAACTTTTGTGTTGAACATAAGACGTTTTGTTCCGTGAGTTTACAAAGGGAAATAAAAGAGTGAATGACTGGAACCTTTGTTGTCTGAAAGTGTCCATAAAATTTATGGTATCGAATGATTTGCACAGAAGCTCTAAACATTGATTTTAAGAAAGTGAGGTGAAAAGGAGTATGGAACTTGGTATTATTAATATCATTGTGTTGTTATTTTATCCATTTCTTTCCTAACTTGCGAAGTACAGAAAATATATTAATGTCAAAGTTGTATAAGCAAATGACAGTCATCTTCACCCACATAAATCAATATAACATATAATACAGTATACAGTTAACCAACCATAAGAAAACACTTAGAAACAACCAACCATAACTAATATATCGTTTACCCACAACAACCCCAATAAAACAACCTCTTTCTCTCTCCTCCCACCGCAGTACCCGAAGGAAAACCGATCTTCACGGCCGCCCACAACGCCTCCTCCACCAGCCTCCAACTGCACTGGAAGCCCCCCAGCAGGAGCACCATCCACGGCGAGTTCCTGGGCTACAAGATCACGCTGAAGCCGAGAGACGTGCCCGATGCCCGCCAAGACCAGATTGTTCGCGTTACGATTAAGGACCCGACGGTCACGGTGAGTGCGGTGTGGTGGGGTGGGTGGGCGGGTGAGTGTGGGTTGCTGTGGGTGGGGGTGGGTGGCTGAGTGTGGGGTTGCTTGTGGTGGGGTGGGTTTAGGAGAGTGGATGATTGGGTGGGTTGGGGTTTAGGAGATGGATATTGGGTGGGTGGTGTGGGTGGATGTGTGTGTGGATTTAGGAGTGGATGAGTGTGTGGGTGTGTGAGTAGAGGGATGTAAGTGTGGGAGTGTGGATGATTGTGGGTTTAGGAAAGTGGGTGAGTGTGGGTGCTAGTTTAGGGGGTGGATGACCGTGTGGATGGATGAGCGTAAGTAGTGTGGCTTACCGCTGGGTGATAGTTGATTTTATGTGGATTTTCTGGGTGTATGGCTCGGTGAGAGAGCTTGTGCGGGTATTCAATGAGAGGTGGAAGTGTGGTTGTGTGGATCGAAGTGTGACTTGCTAGATGAGTGAAAATATTTAGGTATGTAGGCGCAGAGTGTATATTTTCTAAGTGTGTTTGAAGGTGTGGATATGTGGCTGCATGGATGAGTGAGTGTGTGGGCTTTCTGTTTGTTCATAGTGGTTGCCTACGTGCCTATGCGGATGGATAAACGTGCAGTGGTCCAGTGGATATGTGAATGAATGCGGGTACGGGTGTGTAACTTCTTGAAGAGTAATTGTATGAGTGGATGTGGTGAGTATAGGCCTACGTAAAGGTGACTGTAGGAGGAAGGGCATGTGTGTGTGTGTGTGTGTGTGTGTGTGTGTGTGTGTGTGTGTGTGTGTGTGTGTGGTGTGTGTGTGTGTGTGTGTGTGTGTGTGTGTGCGTGCGTGTGCGTGCGTGTGCGTGCGTTCGTGTTCGTGTTTTGTGTGTGTATGTGTGTCTGTGTCTGTCTGTGTGTACAGTCATGTCTACTTGTGTTGTGTGTGAGAAGGAAGAAAAAAAATTACAGCAACACAGACAGACAGACACACACAGAGGCAAACACAGAAAGAGACAGGTAAACACAGACAGGTAGGCAGAGACAGACAGACAGACAGACAAACTTAGAAAGAGTGAGAGAAAGAGAAAGAAAGAAAGAGATGACAAGAATTATTATAACATGAGAGCGAGGTTAGTAAGGGCTTCA